CGCTGCCCTGGTTCAGTCCCGAGCACCGGGACCCGAGCCTGCCACAAACGGCATCCGGGATCCTCCGCCCGCCGCCGCGGGAGGCTTGTCGCTGCCCCCGTGCCACGGGCTGGGGAAGTATTCTCAAAAATACGCGGGGAAAGTTCTTCACAACTCGCTGCCCAGGCCTGGAGGAGAGGCTACCAGAGGCTGCGGGGCTGCGAGATGTGTTGTTAAATCGAGTAAAAGCCCATCGGAGCATCAGGGTGCATTCCCTGCTAAGTACTCTGCTCCCCGCACGATGCTCTCTAATTGTTTCTTGAATGATCTCAGCCTTTCTGCCTGGCTGAACCTGCCTGCCAGGCCATTCCACACTGAGGATTCTCTGCGTGAAAAAGGGCTCCCAACTTAGCCTCCAAATATGTTTCCTGCTTGCATTTACATCCTGTCTGTTTGAAGCCCAAATCTTAGCTCGTTTGGTATTTTACCTAGAATGAGATGCATATGGATGGTTCTCTCAATATGTTGCTGATTTGTAGTCTGGTTGCAAATGGCAATGATGAAACGCCCGTGTTTCTTAGCAACTTTTGTATTGCTATAACCAGAATGTGTGTGCGGGGGGAGGCTCTGTACCCTGCAGTCAGCTCGAGCAGGGCTATGGGAGTGCTGGCAGGTAGGGCTGGATGCTCCGCCGGTGGCGCACGCGGCGCCGGGAATACCGGTTCTGGTTCCTACGGTCATTAACCCAGCAAACCCATCCCAGCGCACAAGTGCATCGACAATAAAGTGGGGGGACGATGACATTTTTTGGTGGAAAGGGCTTGGGTCAGCTGGCTTGTGCAGAGCTGGGGGCCTGGTCCAGAGGCTGGGAAAGAAACTTAGAAAACCCCCATTAACTTCAGGGGATTTTAAATCCGGACCCGTGTCCTCAAGGAAAAATACACACATAAGCCCACTGCGTGTCTTAGAATCCTCCTCCTCATCTTCCCAAGGCAGTGAAAGGTACAGAACAGCAGCAGCGCACCCAGAAGAGTGGGAATTTTCTGTAGGATTTTGTGGTTTGTCATATGTGTAGGCATCTGCTGGGCCCCCGTGCTCTGCCGCTCGGTCCCCCGCATGGTGCGTGACGCCCTGACGGGGGGGGCTTGGTTGCAAACCATCCCTTGTTCTCAACTACAAAGCCTGGAAGAATTAACATTCCTTGCAATTATCCAACCATCTTAATTACTTGCCCAATATTCTGTCTCGGTGTTAGCTGCCCAAATCATGTTGGGATTTTCCAGACACAACTTCTGACCCGTTTGTTAGCCAGGAAACAGAAAATGAAGGAGAAAATCAGAGCACAAATTACTGCAGTGCTTTAAGTAACGCTCAAGCTGAGCCTCACTGGTAACTCCTTGTGTCGAGTGGCGAAGGAATGAGAAGGCTGGGGGCAAAGCGATGGCGTGCTGGAAGCGTTGGCACCCT